TATCAGTCTCCGAGAAGCAGTTTATTATAAACAAATGTTGTCTGATTCCCGGATATGAATTTTGCTACGCTTGTGTTGAAGATTGCATCTACCAGAGGTAACGTAAATAATGATGTAGCTGGTATATATTTGGTTATTAAAGTGTGACACATAATAGGAATATTATTATTGCACGATCTACAATATACCGGATAATAAAAGAATATCGAAGTACTGGGATTGTTACCCCTTCGAAACGTTCCGGTGGTCATAACGCTGTTGCAAATGTGAGCTCTGACGATTGGCGGAATTGTGTGCAACACGTTACTAAGGAAGACAATAAGATGTGTAGATTGGATGGCCTAATGGACACACTTATAGAACCATTAATTATTTCACTCGGATCGGGGGACAGTGACAGTTTTAGTGAACTTTCGGAAGACGGTGACTAAATCGCTTATACATAAAGCAGTGAACTGTGCTGTTTAATAATATGACTATAATTCCATTGTTCTGAATTTGTTCAATCACTTAACATTTGTTGTAAATTGTAATGTGGATTGTGTAGTATTACAACTGATAAAAACATTTAAAATTATAATTCAAAATAATGTTTCAAAGACCAAAAAATGTATGCAGGATGATTACCTATTATCAATGTATTACCTATTTATTATAATTCGCTTTTAAAAGTATGATGTATGCATAATATAAAGGAGTTCCTACCAAATAATAACCCAAAAGCATAAATCATGAAATCTATCCAAATGTGAAAGAAAATCTCATCACGCAACCCACAATACATGTCTGTATAAAATGAGTCTATTATTTTTGTTACTAGATTCTAGTGACATTTCCAGTGTAAATCAGGTTTTTAAATCCGTCTTCCTAGTTAAAAAACAGAGTACACACGTTTTTTTATTATTCCTATTAGTGGAAAGAAAATTATATCTCTACGCCACTGAAGTGAGACGCTAATGATAACGGAAGTGGTGTGGTCACAGCTCAGAGATATTTGCAGATGTGTTCCACACTGACTCCCTGTACTGCGCAAACGCAAGCGCGCTAAAATTTGAATTTGCTTTAACGTGCCACCGTTTGTTTTGTTTATAATACCAGTTCCTGCTGACTTCCATATTACAAACCAAATTTCGCTGTATTTTCGGAAAGAATATGTTCTTCTTCTCGAATTAAAGCCTTCGGTCACTACTGTGAATTCCAGTTAAATACATTATAGCGCCGACTTGAAAGCAAACCTCTACTTTAGCTATCAGTCATGATCCTTGTAGTCTGGTTTTTTGTGATTCGTTCAGCACCGGACTCTCTCTTTACCATAGGTCAATGTTGGTCTGTAACGTTATTGCTGTAAGTAAATGTCATTAACTCTTTCTAATTAACTATTACAGTACTTTACTGAAGCAGTTTCCTAATATCGCCTTTGGCATATTCTATGACCATGCACTCCAAATGTAGATAACAACAAAATTCATCTTGATAAAATGGCATTTTCATATACCTACTACATATAATAGGTAAGCTAAATTATCTTCAATTATAACGTTTGCAGGTTATATGTATATTATTTACCCCTTACACTTGACAGCTGTACAAAAATTCAAATTTTAGCGCGCTTGCGTTTGCGCAGTACAGGGAGTCAGTGTGCAACACATCTGCAAGTGCTCAGAGATATAGCCCACATCTATATCTCTGTCACAGCTATAGTAAGTAAGCTGTGGTGTGGTACTTGAATCACAGCCAGAGCCACTTTTGGTTCCCGTGGTCTACGTTTGGCCAAGCATTTGATTCCCTCCATTAGTTTTCTAACTCAATGATGTAACTCTTAGACTATGAAAGAAAGAACTATAATCTATTGTATGGCGAGCGTCAAAATGGCAGCCATGGCCATTTCACACTTCGCGCTCTGGTCATCGCCCAATCTACTTATTCTCATATGTCTATGAATGAATCACGGTGGTATATACAGGAATACAGGTCGGAAACTCGAGCCCATTTCTATATGAGAAGTGAGGCTCTCAACGCAAATTCAAATTCTAGCGAGCTTGCGATTGCGCAAGGCGCTTTCTTTCGGTGATCCAAACGCGTTTGGATTGTCAAATCACGTTCTTTCGAAGTGTGATCTTATAATCATGATTGCTAAAATCGTGAACAAACTGAACATAAAAGTATTTTGACACAAATTCCTAACCTACAAATGCAAGGATATTTTTGCTCAAATGTTAGGTTAGTCAATATTTGTATAGCATAATCGTGCACGTGCTTCCACTTGTATTTAAATTATTTTCATAATCCAAACAAAAAATACGTAATTCGAATGCAAATGTGCGCTACGTAAACTTAACCAAACTTTGATTCAAATTCGGGCGTTCTTTCGTAAAACGTGATCCTACGAATCACGATCTCGAAATCGTGATTGCGAAGTAGCCGAAAGAAAGCGCCTGCAGTACCGAAGCAACCGAGGGAGTCAGGGTGCAACACATCTCTGAAAGTAATGAACTCGTAATGAATTCACCTTGGGTAGCCGCTTCTATGGAATTGTGGATTCAAGCAAACGGCCAAACCTAACCTTAGCATCTTATATCTGTTATTTATTTAATATGTATATATTTAGATGTATTTGTTTATACAATTTTTCGTTCCTGCATTAGTGGGGGTTTTAAAGTATCGCTTAAACATAAAGATGTAACTGTCCTAGTTAAAATAGCATAAAGGATCTGAAGAAATGGAATTTCAGCATGTTACAGAAGCCACAGGCTTATTACAGAATGGAATTTTGGTTGCAACAAATAAAGGGTGAGTTAAAGTTCTTTTTTTACTAACAGTTTTATAATATGGCATTTTTTAGATTAGTGTGTATGTCATTAACTGATGCAGTATCATCTGATTTAAATTTATCTGTAGAGGATTTAAAAACAGTGGCCGAGCAGTTAATATTACAAGACGAATTTCATAAAGAGGGATCTGAAAATGTCGCCTATTCATTTGCACACCCGCATTGTTCATCAGATACCACTCTGGATAGTGATGATCCTGCAAGCGATTGGGGACGAAATAAGCATATGTCGCAGGTACATGATAATTCACCAACTGTTATGCAAAACTATACAGATAAATTGACACATTTGAAAATTGATAAAAAACATTTACAAGCAGTTGTAATTGATCACTGTATGTCCAACGTGTCTGATTCCGATACGAATAGCGTTATTACAAATAATTTGAGCGATGGAACGACTGAAAGTTCAGCAGTAGATTTTGCGCACTCCGTAGGAGTAGACATTTCCATAGAAGCTAGTAAAATTTCTGCGAAAAGAAGAGGGGGATGGCCCAAAGGGCGCAAACGTAAGCCGCAGCTGTTACACTTACCGCCTAAAGCTCCAGCAACTGGATATAACCTGTACCTAAATGATATGCGCAAGCAATTCAAAGCAAGTTCACTTGCATTTCATGAAATTACCAAAATCATCGGAAATAAGTGGTCTAGTTTAAGTTTAGAGGAGAAGAAACCATATTTAGAGAGGGCAGAAGAAGACAAGAAGAGATATAGAGAAGAATTGCGAACTTACAGGCAGTCCGGATCATACCAGCTGTATCTCGCCAAGAAAAGAAAAGCAAGAGTTCAGAACAATGTCCTGTCTGAGAGTGATATGGATGCAACTGATGATATTGATGTGAGTATCAATATTGGAAAATTGCTGCTGAGCTTCCGTGTATCAGTACCAGTGGCGGCTTGTCAATAAGTGCTGCAGAGCTGCAGAACCGCCAAAAAATATGACAGAAAGCAGAAATAATCATACAAATATCTAACATAAAACACAAATCTTGAATAAGAAATAATTAATTTGAACGGGAAAATAAAACATATAATTACGCTAATGCGGCAAGTCAAATAAATACTAGAAGCGTTGTAACTACCCGTATCTTTAGTGATGATTATAACTTAGACGTTCAACTTGGAGGATCTGGCAGTATTTTGACTTACTGTTCGTTCTACTCCGCTTGTAATCGGTCACTTTCATAATATCGTTAAGTAAAGGAGAACCGTGCTGCACGGAGTGCAGATCGTAGCTTCTTAAGCGCACTTTTCAAATTCACGTTTTCCTTTTGATTTGCAGTTATCACTGTAACTGACAACTGTAGTTCATTTACCTACTTCAGCTCGTTCGGCTCGGCGACCGCGTATTGTAGTATTACATGACTATATATATAAATTATTTTTTTTCCATATATGCCATTTATTTTCTTAAATCGCCTACTCTGCAGCACACCCAATCATACATCTCACCAGCCGCCACTGATCAGTACTATCAGTTCGTCATATTTAATGGTAACGGAAATAACCTATTAAATTCATATGAATCAATTATGTAAACTTCTCTAATACTGCATTGCTGCACGTTCGACTTGCCTAGGCGTTTATAATTTTGATATTTACTTCACTTTTAACACATACCATGGTGTGTATCGTTTATCGTGACAGCACAAACTAATCAATAAGATATTTAAAACTGGAAATTTGTATGAAAATAGTTTATGACGGATTGTCATTATTGACAGACCGATATCAATTTGTTTATTTGTCACGACTTGTGTTGATGACGTAATTTTTGTGTCTCTATCATTTTAAATGCATTGAAGAGAGAATCACATTTATGAAGTCATTTTCAGCACCAGTGAAACAAAGTATAGCTAATTTCAAATTCTTATTTAGGATGAAGATAATGAGGAATTGTACTGTAGAACGTGCGATCAATGGTTTCACAATTTGCACAACAAGCGTGAGCATCTTCAGGGACGACAACATGTTCAAGCTGTTGTTGGTGATATGAAACTAGAGTTAGGAGTGGAATATTATAACAAGTGTATGGTTGGTACCACCTGTCCTTCTGTAAACGAAATTACTTTAGGAGCGACGGCCGATCAGAATCAATATGCTACAAGTCAGCGTAGTGTTTCGGAATCAATGTCTAATTTGATGACTGTTATAACAAGTAAGTGTTCATAGATTTTATTTATTTATATCATATAAATTGTAAAATGTAGGTCGTGAGAAGGAGATCAAAACATTACATATGAGAGTATCAGAATCAAAGGCAGAGAATGAAGCACTTTACAATCAACTTTGTTCGCTAAGGGAGAGAGAGGCTACTTTAGTATCAGAACTAAGTTCCTTAAAGAAGTTGGAGGATGATATGGAAATGAAAATGTTTGAACTTTGGAAAGTACCTAGTTTGTTTGTTACTACCGAATTAACTTTAAACTGCTCTGAAAATTAATGTATTGGTTAACTGTTTTTATGTGAAATGATACATATTCTAGTCATAAAAGGGGGTTGGTACCAGCATAAATTTACTTGAACACAATAGTAATATAATTTACTATCAATAGTGGTTTTCGTGTCATGTAAAGTTACTTCAAAACGACATGAGTTATTGGACAGAAATCCTTGTTCAAAAGAACGAATTTAGGCAATGGTTATGTCATATATCATAGGTAGTGCTGGTCGATAAATGAAATTGTTATTGATTTATCGATAAATCTGTTTAGTCCGATAATTATCGATAACTTTTGATAATGATCATAATCAATTATTATTGACACCTGTCGAAAATTGTCAATGTCCGATAAGTATGGATTAATTGATAAATAGTGATAACAATCGAAAGAAAACTTTTAATACGTTTTCATAAATCTTATCGATATAAATCTATTCCCAATAAGTATAACTATATCATCCATGCTTAGACTCGCTAACATTTTTCCTTTTTTGGTATTGATATTGCGAGAGATAATTTAAATAAAGACAGGATCTCTTGAAAAATATTAAAACAATTTTAGGTTTTTTGAAATCAAAGGTGATCAAGTAGACGATAATTCTCAAGAATTTGGCACGTCCTTCAATAACTTTTGTTAAAGGTTAAGGTATTAGTTTTTAACAGAAACAGTAATTAAGCATAATAATTCAGATCAACCAGCATGAAGTATGTTGTGATTTGAGATCATATTTTGTAAGTGTCATGCCAACTCCGCAATGCCCTTAAGAGGATTGGAGGCCACCTGAGTTTTTAACGCTTAAACAAACAGGCCCCTTACGTCTCCATCGGACGTGTTACCACAATTCTCATTTCAGTGTAATCTTCCATCTATCTGCGTAAATTCATCTCTGTCACACAAATAGTGTTGCATAAAGCGCAGTTTAGACGCTACTATCTTGGCTTCGATAAATCGTAACGATCTGATTGACCAATTTATCGTTCAATAAATCGAAAGAGTGCGTACTGTTTACATGTAACGATTTCTTGTTCCAATCTCATTGTCGATCACGGTTTAATACAGTTTTTATTTTTTTACTTTTCAACTTGTCTTTTGGTTCTGTCCACTAATATAAATTATACTCGCATTTTATTGCTTACATTGCTTGCTTACAATAGACTCTTAATCTCGATTATGATTTATGAGTAGCCATGTGTCGCTAAATATTTTTTTTGGGTGGCCAAACTTGATCGCCACTCGCCAAATGTAAAACGTGTGCGCTAGAGACAGTCTAAGTAGCCCAAATGGATACAAAAATGGTTCACGTCGGCAACATTAATCACAAATCGTAGCGATAAATCGCTGTTATTGTTTACACGTTCCAATTTATCGCTACGATTCGCAGAAATTGAAGCCGGCCGCCATCAACCATCCAATCCAATTCCAATTCCGATAAATCGCTACAATCCTCTGTTCACGCGCAACGATAAATCGTAACGATTCGATCGTTACGATAAATTGTTACAATTTATCGTAGCGTCTAAACCGCGCTTAATAGGCGCGTCCTAGTAGCATGCGCTTTTTACACTGTGGCAACACTGCTGCGCTTTGACATTTGAGTGATCAAAGCAAAATACAAAGGTTAGATCAAGTTCAACTTTTACAGAATTTGCAACAAAAATGATAGCTTTAGTTTGAATCCTAATTGCTTTTGAAATTGAGGCTCGCCTCTATGGCCTCCCATAATAAATAAAAGTGTGGTAATAAGAAATAATTATTTTATTAATTAGTCTGAATAAAATGTCTTTCAAATCCACATTTCCAATAGTAACCATATTCAGTATGCATAGCTTAAACTGAAGGTTCCTCAAATGGTTCATGAAGTCATAGTTACAATTACATATTGCTTATACTCAGTATACAATGCATAAAATAATTAAAAATATCAATTTTGGGAAATAAAATATGATCCAATCGCTGTACTAGTGAACTGCAATTGTTTAATAGGTCTTTTTGGTATAATATGTGGTCTGTCCTCGGAACAAGATATAAAGACAGAGGACGCATACGCTACAATAACGTGAATGTTTGTTTTGCACCAACTTAACCTCTACGTTTGACAGTGAGAGGCCGAAAGGTAAATATTAGTGCACTACTTTTTCCCATTTCAAAAGGGCAAATTATTAAACCCAATTGAATAAGTTTTAAACTACAAAATGAGCTAAAACTGTAAACTGTAAATAATTAAAATAATAATTTAGTTTTAAGGTGCTAAAAACAAAGGTTGATGTACCTCCAAATAAATTGTCAATAAAAAAAATGCAGAAATCACATTTGTAGAAATAAACAGAAATACTCTCAAAAATGCTACAGCGTTGCCGTCGTGACATACTAACTAACTAACTAAATTTTCATATTAAGCTGTTTAATTTCGACTTATAGTTGTTTGTTTTTCACAATTCGTATAAATTTTTAAAAATCATCTTGTGAAATGTGACAAGTTTGCTTTTAAGAATTGAGGCATCTTGAGGATCTGTCACCTAAATTTGACCAGTCAATTAGAGTTGTTTTAATAGAGCAGATTAGCTAGGTATTCTTATTCAACAGGTTAGATAGGAAACAATGTTAAAGCCGAAATTATCACTTTGAACATTGATATGACACATTAATAAACTTAATGAACAAAATACAATGCCATTACAGCCACTTAATGTTTGACACAGTTTACAACCTGTAGGAGTGATTATTAATATGAGATTCTACAGTAACTGGAAGCACTACTTGTGGCCGTTGAGCTTGCAAAAGTGAACAAAAACACCAATAAACCACAATAATTTATTAAAACCTCGAACGCATTTCAACAACAACAAGGCTGTCATCATTAGTGAACAACAACAGCAGTTGTTGGCTGATGATGACAGCCTTGCTGTTGAAACGCGTTCGAAATTTTTATGTTTTATTGTGTTTATTGGTGTTTTTGTTTCACTTTTGCGTGAGATTCTACAGTTACCTGATTTCTATTTTTGTAGTAAAAGGATTTTGTTCTTCTCTTAATTTTTACATTTTGTCCTGAATCTTATTATTATGTGGGATGTAGATAGTTTCAGGTAGAACTCGCAACTATTCGCAAAAACCATCCAGCAAATATGTTTGCTTTCAACAAAGATCAAATTGGAATATGTATCATTAAAGATAAAAAGTAAACTGCATACTATCATGTTTGAAAATGTATGTAAAAGCTTTCACCGCTCTCATATTTCTTAATTATTAGGTAACAGCATGTCTTTATAGGTAGGTACATGTTAAGAGTGAATTCTTCAAAGTTAATTTAATTTTGGTATATAGAAAATATTTTATTAATAGCGTTGTTAAAAGTAAATGTGTGTACCAAACACAAAGGTTTACACAGTCTGTGATATGCTTAGATGCAAGAGTGATGATAGAATTCTTTTCATATCGGAATTTAGAAGACCAAATTACTCCTTACATTTTATAGTAATGTACAATATTTACTTCATGTAATGATGTAAAAAAACATAATTGTCTAACTGCTTTGTATAAATTATTGGAAACATAATAAATATAATTTAAATATCTGATTACGGCAGAACATTTTGAATCAATTATAGTGATTATTTTTTGACGTTTCTCGAAACCAATAGAAATCAATTTCAGTCATTCTAATACGTTCTAGCCAATCAAAACATTATTATAGTGGGAATAATCCAAGGTTGTTTTATTAGAAAGGTTGTCTGGTAACTCTAAACCAATAGAATGCTTGCATTTTGAAGGCGGGAAAACGTCATCCAGAATTCACATTTAAAATTGCTCATAGGTTACAATGCTAATAAAAGGGGTAAAAAATTTAGTTTTTGCAGTATATTTTTGGATTTATATGGGTATATGTATATGGGGGTGGTTTTTATATTGGAAATCTTGGAAGTTTATCGACTTCCACCTTTTAAAGCAATCAAAGTATTGCAAAAATGAGTGTGGTGCGTAAGCTGTTTTACATTGCACGAGGACTTGTGAAAATGTAATCAAATTAATTTTAGAGGTGGAAATGGATAAAATTCCGCGTTCTACAAAATAGGAACCACCCCTATGTACCAATACCTAGCCTTTGGGATTTAAAACTCTAAACATTCTTTAGCGGATGACGCCAAATAAAATGCTGTTGCGTTTTATGGAATATGTATATTTATGTCTTACTAACCTATCATAGCACATTTTATATCTGTGATACGCGGGCATAAAGTACCACTTTATGCCCTAGGGCATTAAGTATCACCATAGTAACTCATTTATACTTAATGAGAAAACAAACAAATATTTGCAGGTCATTGAAAATTAGAAACGTCAATTATTAATTGCCAATACCTACTAAATCACAAGATTGGCCTTATTTCGTATAGTTTCTGGAACTTCTTGCTCATTCACGATGAATTGAATTATTTAAAATTACATTTGGCGTTTGGATGGTTTCAGTCACATTAACAAATTCGAACCACGCATACTCGATCAAACATAATGAATTATTTTGTAAACGAATTTTGACGAAGAAAACTATTTGAAAACATAAAATTGTGTATGTACCACGGGCATAAATTGATGTTTATACTCTCGGGCGACTAAAAAGCTCTCGGGCCATAGGCCCTCGAGCTTTTTAACTCGTCGCCCTCGAGAATATAAACATCACTATTATGCCCTTAATACATAAATAACTATTATAGTATGTACAAAATAGTAACCGAAGTGCACACGGCGAGCTCTGTCGTTGGGGTGAGCCCAGATGCAGGTCTTCTGATTTATGGAGTGTGGCGCGAGGTCGAGTTGGAAAGGCGACCTGGTTCTGCAGGTGGAAAGCTTTTTGTTTCTTGAAGTGCAGTCGAAGCAGAAATTGCGATGCACTTTGCAGAGTTCGTGGCTCTGGTTTTAAACGTTTGCGGCCAGGGACGCTATACGCTTTCATCGGTTGGTCGTTTTGACCAATGAGGGCGCCGCACGTTTTAGTTTGCTGCCGGATGTGAAACATTTTCTTACCCATTCTTTAAGAACGGTAGGGTCCTTTGGAAACGTAAAAACCGAGATTTTATTTACACCAGGATGAAGAATTTTAGTGTCACCGCCACTCATCTAAAAAAATACTTAATTATAACATACAAAAGTGCATATAATTGATTAACTAACCTTTCAATCACGGCTATGAAAACCCACAAAATTCACAAACTAAATGTCTTTATATTCCACCAAACAGGTATCTACAGCTAAAATATGTCCTTATGCACTTCAAAATTCAACAAATTTTAAACAAATAAACTATAACTCAAGAAAAATAAGCACCCGCGCGACTACAAACAACGTTGAACGTCAATGTCAGAATTCTCGATGACGTATACATTCCGTCCCTCCTGCTTCCGCCCACATAGTTACCAGGTAACCTTTGAAACAATATAACCTTGGGAATAATCTACTTACAAATTCCCAGCGAGAATTTTTCAATGTACATTGTTTTTATTGAATGACAACCATATGGCAACTAATTTTCTTGATCTGACGCGTCTGTCATAAATTTTCAAGAAGCTCGTAAAATGAATCGCAAACGTTTTAGTGAATCATCAGTCGATGAAATATGTAATATAATCATTGTAAGTAAATGTAAGTGCATTTAAGTATATGTACAGGGTGACAATTTGAAAACTTACCACCCCCCATATCTTAGTAAATAAACGAGATATTTAAAAAAATCAAAATCTGTTTCGGTAATTCGGAGGGGGAATCACAATGACATAGTTGGCGACGCACCCCCTCACACCCCCTGCGCCCCAGCCACCCCAACTTTTAAATCTTAAATAGTGACCCCCATGTGTGATACGTCGTTGGAAAGCTCTGAAAAAATGCTTTCCAACCATACCAAATAGCATTACATTTAGGTTGGTAATTATCGTGCAAATCAAAAAATAAACATGGAAAATCGTAGCTAACTTGAACTTCCAAAGCCGACTCGACAGCAACTCATTTTTGATCGCCAGTTATAATCTATTCTCAAACTCTTGTCGAACCTTTTCAAATGTTTGTTTTGCAATATTTCGACATTCTTGAATTATTCTGTCTTAGTTCGTCTATGTTCGCCGGTTGCGTTTTAAATACGACAGATTTCAAATGTATCATATTAGTTTATTTTTTGATTTGCATGATAATTACTAACCTAAATGTAATGCTATTTGGTATGGTTGGAAAGCATTTTTTCAGAGCTTTCCAACGACGTATCACACATGGGGAGTCACTATTTAAGATTTAAAAGTTGGGGTGGCTAGGGTGCAGGGGGTGTGGGGGGGTGCGTCGCCAACTATGTCATTGTGATTCCCCCTCCGAATTACCAAAACGGATTTTGATTTTTTTAAATATTTCGTTTATTTACTAAGATATGGGGGGTGGTAAGTTTTCAAATTGTCACCCTGTATGTACACTACCCTAATAAGCAACGCGTCTGTTTGGAAACAATTCCAATTATTTTGCGACGAAATGAGGGGCTATAAATTGGAAGAAAAAACAAAACTAGTCATTATTTTGAAGGACTAATGGGTTTAATATGCGAAGAAACAGAATGGAGAAGACTATAAAGAAAATCTTAAAAGTGATTTTGATTGTAACGTCAAAAAATAATCTATCGAATACCACACGAGAGTTCCATAAATTAGATAATAATTCTCCAGGTCTTTTCTCAAACTTGTTGCCATTTGGCAATGCCGGTGCTGGGTTTAGGACACTTCGCCGAATGCCCACAACGCCGACACGATTTTTTGAAGGTCCATATCGCCGACTAGGGACACTACGCCGACGGACACTACGCCGACCGTGCCCACATCGTCGACAAGTATGCAAGGGACACAACGCCGACCATGCCCACTTCGCCGACGGACACTACGCCGATCGTGCCCACATTGCCGAAACGTGTGCAAGGGACACTAAGCCGAACGTGACCACAAGGCCGACTGTTCGAAAATCCAGGCCCCTCATACTCTGTCCAGTGTATGAATTTTAAAAAGTTTAAAAAACATGTCCTAAACCTACAATCCAAAGCTGCTTTGCTTCACACTCCGTCCAGTTTGATTAAGAATTTTCGTATGAGTCTGTAGTTCGAAAAAAGTTTAAAAAAATATTCTGAACCTACAATAACCTAACGTCAAAAGCTACTTGGTGTTGCACACCGTCCAGCTTGATTAAGAAGTGTTGTATGAGTCGACGTTATGGTCACGTTCGGCGTAGTGTCCCTTGTTCACTTGTCGGCGATGTGGGCACGGTCGGCGAAGTGGGCATGGTCGGCGTTGTGTCCCTTGCACACTTGTCGACGATGTGGGCACGGTCGGCGTAGTGTCCCTAGTCGGCGATATGGACCTTCAAAAAATCGTGTTGGCGTTGTGGGCATTCGGCGAAATGTCCCGGTCTCTAAATCCCAAGAGCCTAATGCCTACTAACAATTTATTTACCTTGCTAGATAGATAAAATATTTCTAATGTAATATCTGACATTAAGCAAGGTTTCATGTCTCTATAATCCGAGGTATTTGGGGCTGTTGGTACGTACCTTGGATTACGAACAACGTAGGTTATAGACCAAGAGCTCACGTATAAAAAACCGCATGATAATTTATTTACTTATTTTTTTATTTATTTATTATCCATCTCTTGTTCCGGGCCCTCAACAGGCCAATTACAGAGTGACCCGCATAATGCTTTTTAGAGGTGCCTCTGCAGAAGGTCTTAAGTTGTCCTTACTACTCCGGTATTTACCTTACAAATTAGGAAAACCTAATTCGGAGTAGCCGGCAGAATGCTCGAAACTGGTCTAAGGTAATTCACATCTCTGAACAGATGAAAAATTCACCTCAACCATAGAGTAAATTTTACTCTATGATACAGTATAGGTAGAGAAAAATAAAATCTAGCATCGAATACTAGCCTACTAATTATACATTGGAATGCTAGTAGTGAATAAAATATAATATAATAGTTATTTGTGTACCAAGGCCGTAAAAGTGATCTTTTTTGGCCGAAGCTGCTGTTTGTGGCCGAGGCGGTAGCCGAGGCCGCAATTCAGATGAGGCCTAACAAATCACTTTTGGCCAAGGCGCACACAACATTTTTTAGGCAATCATCAAAAAAGAATTCAAAAATTTGCTCATAATAGTTATTTGTTTCATTAGTACAAAAAATGTCAGTTTTCGGGACGAGGAAGAGAGTTCCGAGTCCCGAAAACGCATTTTTTGTACGAATAAAACATAAAATTTTTTCTCCAACGCCCTTTACTTCAAATTATATTCGAATTTAGATTCAGTTACCGTTTCACTACTATAGTATAAGAACTTCTGCTTTCTTGTCCTCACGTGTCATGCCACTCTAGTTTTTAGGTTAACTTATAACCTATTCGTTTTTACCTCTTACTTCTCACCTCTCGCGACTTTGTAGGGAGCAAATCTTGAGGTAGCATGTTCTGCCGTTTCTATAATCTCTGGCGGAGTGCAATCCATGTCGCTATCAGTTTCAGTCATTTTATTGTATAAACAATTAATATTGTTATATTTTGTATTGAAATAAAAAACTTACCATACAGTTTTTTAATTAAAATTAATTGCAATTAACTTTTTCAAATTTTGAATTCAAAATGACAGTTAATAGTGCAATTGGTCTGAAGTAGATGGCGTTACGCGCGACGGCGGGTTGTCTACGTATTAAAATTACGTTCACGGAATAATTTTCAATACATGTACATTCGTATAGGTAACATCATTATTTGCATTGAATCTGCAAAAATATTTGATTTGTATGTATAGAAATATCTTACAACCTGCAATGTAAAACGATGTCAATGTGACATATCTCCGTGATTGTAATTTTTTAATTGGCCAACTTTCAAGGTCAATTTCTTTTTGGTACTAGGTCCAAAAGTATCCACTTTTTGTACAGTTGCCATGGTGAAAGCGATTAATCCGCAAAACGTCAATTTTAGGTACCGAACACTGTCACAAAATAGCGTCTTATTCAGGTGGTTGGAGAAAAACATATTTTTTCTGAAAATCATAGCTATCTTAGACAATTAAAACCAAGCATTTCCTGTCATATGTAATAAATTATAATTAGCATCTTTGCGTGTGTTGTGCGTATCAAAATGGGTGATAGCGACAGTTCAGATACCCAAAATGAAATTTTGGAAGCTGCAAGCGTTGCGACCCTAAGTAATAGGTATGATATAAGAGCAGGCGTTTGAGAGTAAAAGTACAATCGCTAACTTCCTCCGCTGCACAAGATTTTAATAATGTCAAATGCAATAGGTCCTTCGTAACTGTGGCTTCCAAGACCTTATAGTTAACATGCTGTACAATTATTAGAAACCTGATTATTGCTGGTGATTCTTCGTATAATAATGTAAGCAATAACATCTTCCTCATGTTTTGGTTCTACACTTCAAAAAGGTCTGCAAGCAGCAAAACGTCAAACTATAATTTTAAATGTGAACATTGTGATTATGCAAAATGGTGTGAAACATTCCTACAAGTCCGAAAATGAAAAAAACGCACGTGGATGGCTCAATCCTTGATGGGGCGAGACCAGATAGACGCTTTGTATCAAACAGATTACTGTTTCTCCCACATCAGTTTCAAATAAGTAAAGTTTGACAGAAGCGTACAATAAAGTGAAACTTTATGGCCGCAAAAGCGACCATAAAATCAACGCTTTTGTGATGATAGCCTAAAAATATATTTTTCATATAAACAGGGAAAATTGGAAAAATAAAACCCGCATCTTTTTCAATAATCTGTGATGCCATGGAATTTTATAATACAAAAACTACGCCAATATCCGTCATGCCATATGGAATGTCTGCTATAAAACAAATCAAATTCTATGCCATGGAATTTTCTAAAACAAAAAGATATATCAATTATAGCAGCAGTTCGAAATTGATTTTATGATCGACTTGGTTACTGTATTAGAGTTAATGGTGACTTATTCGAACATATATTGTAAATTGTTATATTAGGAAACCGTTTTTAGTAATTTCTTTATGTTTAATGCGCTGTTTTAACAATAATACTTTTTGATAGAAATTGATTTGTTTTGTAGCAGACATTCCATGGCATGATACAATAAATATAAGATATGATATTGCGCATGTAGGAGGAGTTATGAATCACGTGTGTGACGTCACGCGGTGAATTTCAAATTAAATATAATTACATGTCAGTGTAGATTTTGGTGCTTTTTTGGAATTTGTGAATCAGTTTTCAACAAAATGAGGTGTTCCGTGGTTGGATGTACCACAGCTAATGGATCAAAACAGTTTTCAAGCAATCTAATGCTTTTCCGGTTCCCGAATGATCAAAATTTTCAAAAACGTTGGGTGTTACCTTGTAACCGGCCAGGTCACATTAATGTGAAAACTACCAGAGTATGTTCGAAACATTTTGACGAGTCGTCTTATGAACGGAATTTGCGGTTTGAACTACTGGGCTATACCGCCCGAAATCGTCCACTGTTGAAACCAGATGCCGTACCATTTCTCAATTTGCCACTGGGGAACTCAAAGGATGTGAAAGGGGAATCGGCCCGAACCAGTCGCATTAATAAAAGAAATAGGTCAAAATTAGTTGCGACTCTCCTACAAACCAAGTAAGTTTCTTGTTTTGGTGTATTAGAAATTGGTTTAGAGACGTTTTCCAGTACGAACACTGATGCTGACAACAGAGACGAGATAATTCCAAATTAAAAGAAGAAAATGAAATTTTTCACAGGTTTTTCACCACCACTGAAATCTGTATATTGAAACATCCTTATAAGCGAGTAACATGGACAATTGAAGATATTTCGAAAGCTATTATCCTTGATTCAGCTGGTACAAGAGCCTATAGGTTGTTACGGAAAAAAGGATACCCTCTGCCAGCAGTGTCAGCGCTTAGAGCATGATTTAAAAAAATTCAATTAATGCCTGGAATATTAAAGAAGGTAGTAATAATAGTGTTTGACTCCATCTCATATCTCAGTGTTCACGAGATTAGTAATTTAATTATGTGTACTTGTTTATTTAATATTTTGTAAATAACTTGAGACTATTCTAATAACAAACATGTCTTTTTTTGTACCTACTCCTTTACACTTCCTGATGTCCGATTTACTTTTTAAATTCTATATTACCAATTTATCTAGCAATAAAGAACAATAATTCAATATATTTTTATCTGATCGAATACCGTTTTTGAATCTAGTATAATTCCAATATTTTATATTAGTCATTTCGTTTTTAATATCTACTCCACAATGTTTAGATACTTTAGCATAAGTAGGTATCTTACCATATTATGGAAAACGCCTGCATTTCCTCTTTTTATGGTGCGCTTAATTATAGCTTATAGCATTTTTAAAGATGGTCTTTAACGATCTCTTGATATTTTTCGGCATATTTTGCGTTTAGGTTTTATAATTTCAACTCTCTTTTTCCCCTAAACCATTATAATTAAGAAATTTTAGTGTTTGTAGTAGAATTAAGAAAAAAAATCTGGCTTTGAATTCAAATTTGATCACCGCGTGACGTCATGCGTGAACTGGACGAATTTGGAACGGCAATCTAGCATATCTTGTTTTATTTATATCATGATTCCATGGTATGACGGATATTGGCGTAGTTTTTGTATTATAAAATTCCATGGCATCACAGATTATTGAAAAAGATGCGGGTTTTATTTTTCCAATTTTCCGTCTTTATTATGCAACAAATTGAAAACTAATACGGTTGATTGACGTAAAAAATTTTTTTCTACAAAAAAACCTTTTTACATTTTTGCTCTAAAATAATTTGGGGAGCCAATAACGGCATGTTATTAATTTTACATTGAAATCCCTATGATGCGTGACGCAAGTCACCACCCTGTATACTCTTCGTAAGGTAGATATACCCTTTTATCATATAACATGTATGATCTAAGGCCTACAACAACGCCACATCACAAGATTGTTAATTGTAATTCATTCCTCAAACGAGTACGCAATCCATCATTCCATTTAAATTTAAAATTTTTCAAGTACCTATATAGGTATACCAGTACCAGTAGCACCCTGCCGAAGAGAATTGATGAAAGTGAGATAAAACTTAGCTAATAGATTTCACATATGGTTTATACTCATTAAAGATGATCCCAGCCTACTTAACTACTACGACCTTCGTTACTATGTATTTGCCTCTGTCTCATTTCTTTTTGTCGAATTTTTATGCCATATGCAAAATGTTGACTGAAATACAAAATTATTTTAAAAGAAGGGAAGGCAATAGAAGATTCTTTTTTAATGGGTAGGTATAACAAAAATCTTAATCCTGGTCACGCGTAATAAGTGATGTACACAAAGCAATATAAATAATGTCTTTATTAAACAAAATACGATACCTTTTACAACCATGTGTATGATTTAATTTCTGGATTATACTTGAGACTGTCTACATTTTGTATCAACCCCTTTTCTGATGAACAAAAGTGTTTTAGAATGGTAGATGTGAGACCACAATCAGATAGGTTCTCTTTGCTGAAAACTGAAAATCCAGAAGTATTGCTATCAGTTTCTATTTTTTCAGTTTCCCCTAATTTACTAAACGCCATTGAAGAGGTAATATGTCCGAAAGTAGCAGTAAAGCTTTGGTCTTGTGGGTTTAATTCAGACAAATTATGTATAATATGTGGTAGAATAGGTCCATTTAACTCTAAAGAAAAATAAGACACATTATCGATTAATATTTTGGTTTCTTTTACTTTCAAAGTTGATAAGGTTGCACCTTGAAAGGCAATTGGTGACAGAAGAGTCGGAGGGATACCTGCTAAAGAACCGGTGATACTTGTAGCACTTTTGCAATTAATAAGAAAATTATATAGACCATGAACTTCCATCCCTTGTATTAGAACTAAACTTCCTTCACTATTATCTACCTCACATTCTGTTTTACGATGACGTTGTTTTTCAGTATAACTTATTTGTTTTCTATCCTCTGCATTTATGCCCATACTTGCAAGCCACTTCTCTTCAGATCCTTCATCATCAGAACCGTCACCTTTATCTTTCGTGCCAGACTTTACTTTTAAAGGCATTGAAAATTCAATTTCCTCTTGCCTTAGCAACTGTCTAAATCCATACGTTGTAGGAGTTATTAACGCAACCATTTCTGCATGGCCACATATTCCAGCAGCCCTAAATAATACTGTAAAAGTATTGGTACAAACATAGAAAAATGGACATTGTCGGGTTCGTAACAATTGAAATAATGAACGCAAACCATCAGACCATGCCATATGTAAATTGTCACGCATTGCAGCCGTTGTAACAAAACTTGGGCCTGAAGAAGATTGTGCTTGCGTGCG